ATCATTGTTGTTCTCTCTGTATATATATATATATAATATATATATATATATATATATATATATATTATATATATATATATATGTATATATACATATATATATATATATATATATATATATATATATATATATATATATATATATATATATATATATGTATATGTATGTATATATATATATATATATATATATATATATATATTAATATATATATATATATATATATGTGTGTGTGTGTGTGTGTGTGTGTGTGTGTGTGTGTTGTGTGTGTGTGTGTGTGTGTGTATATATATATATATATATATATATATATATATATATATATATATATATATATATATATATATATATATATATATATATATATATATATATATACATACGAAAACAGCGGGTGAAGACAGAACACGAAAGAGAGGGAGAGAGATAGATAAGAGAACAGACGGTGGATAGACACACGGATAGACCGGTGGATGAATCGGACAGGAAGCCGAACAAGCAAGCAACGCAAGCAACGAGTCTGGGAGTCAATCTTATCAATCGATATGGCATTAACAATCTACCGGCTGGCACTGACAGGTCGCTACACCAGTGCCAATATTTTATTTCTGTTCTCTCTCTCCTTTATTTGCCTGTGTTTCTGTCCTTTTTTGATGTTTATTTTTCCGGTTATTAATTGGGTGGAATTGTATCATATATGGGGTGTTTACTTTTTATTTTTTTTTATTTATTTTATGGGATGATATGGTGATTTTTGGATGTTTGTTGACAGTGGGAGAAATATTTATTTATTTTTTCGACGAATGTGACTTCCTGTGACATATTGGCAATGCTGTTTGGAGGAAAGGAGGGGGAGGGGGGTAAGGAGGAGGGAGGAGGGAGGGGAGGGAAGGAGGGAAAGGGAGGGAGGGATTGAGGGATTGAGGGAAGGAGAGAGGAGGGAAGGAGGGATTGAGGGAAGGTGAGAGGGAGGGAGGGAAAGGAAGGAGGGAGAGGGAGGGAAGGAAGAGGAAGGGAGGGAGAGAGGGGTAAGGAAGGGAGGGAGGGAGGGAAGGAGGGATTGAGGAAGGTGAAGAGGGAGAAGGGAGGAAAGAAGGGGGGAAGGAGAGAGAGAAGAAGGAGGAGGGAGAGAAGGTAAGGAGGGAGGAATAAGGGAGGGAGGGATTGAGGGAGGGGGGGAGGGAGTGGGTAGGGGAGAGGGGGGGAGAGCGGTTCAGGTGCCACGTGTACCTCAATAGACTCTGTGGGGGGGGGGGGGGGGGGGGGCAGAGGGAGAGGGGAGGCGGAGGGAGGGCGAGAAAGATATGGGCTGGAGATGAAAGAGAGTAAATTGGAGGAGAGGAAGAGAGAGAGAAGGATAAAAAATGGAAGTGGTCTTTGTAAATAAAGAGAAAGGCAAGGGAGAGAGAGAAAGAGAAAGAGAAAGAGAAAGAGAAGAGAAAGAGAAAGAAAAAAGAAGAGAAAAGAAGAAAGAGAGAGAAGAGAAAAGAGAGAGAGAGAGAGAGAGAGAGAGAAAGAGAAAGAGAAAAAGAGAAGAGATAGAGAAAAGAGAAGAGAAAAGAAAGAGAAAATAGAAAAGAAGAGAAAAAGAAAGAAAAAGAGAAAAGAAAGAAAATAACACTGAGGTAAAAGAACAAAACAGTGATAAATGTTAAGAAGACGAAAATAAGGATAAGAACAAGAACAAGAACACAGGCGACAGTCACAGCAACATCAAAGATAACAACAAAGATGTTATTGATGATGATGATGATGATTAATGATGAATGAATGGTGATGATCATCTTAATGCCAATGAGGATAAAACAATGATAACAAAAGTAAAAAACAACATCAGCAACAATGGTAATGATAATGCTTGTAATGGCAATGAAGATGATGATAATGATATTAATAATAATGATGATAATGATGATACTACTACTACTACTATTACTACTACTAATGATGATAGCAATAATCATGATTACAATATTGACAATGATAATAATTACTATATTAATAACAATAATGATGATAACAACAACAATGATAATAACGATTATGAAAATGATAATGATAATAGTAATAATGATGATGATGATGATTACATATCATAATATTGTTACTATCATTACTGATGATAGCAACAATAATTATAATAATGATGATGATAATATTGTAATAATGAAAATAATGATAATAATAATGATAATAAACACGCATATAATGATCATGATAATAATATTGATGATAAAATGATAATAATAATAATAATAATAATAATAATAAAACAATAAGATAATAATAATGATAAAGTAATGATAATAAAAACAATACTGATGATACGGTAATGATATTACTAGTAATAGTAATAATATTAATAATAACAATGATAATAATTATGTTAATGTTAATAATAGCGATATTAATAATATTAATAATAACAATAATAATAAAAAATAATAGTAATAATGATGGTGATATTAAAGATGATAATGACGATTATTATAATAGGAATAGTAATGAAAATGATAATGCTAAAGATGATGATGATGATAATAACAATAGTATTAATGATAGTATTAACAGTAGTAGTAACAACAATAATAACAATAACTATGGTAACAATAGTAATAATAAAAACAGTAATGATAATAATGATAAAACAACAAGAACAATAAAATGGTAATATTGGTGACGATAATAATCACAAAAATTACAATAATAATGATAATAATAAAGTGGCAGTTTTCATAACAACAAAAGTAACAACAAAAACAAACAACAACAATAATGACATATTAAAAGGTAAGCAGCCAACAACAATAAGGGAAAGAAGAAAGGAGAGATGTTGAATAGACGAACGACAGGAAGAGCCACAAAGCGCATTCTGGCGGGACTCGAACGCATTCCAGTCGCCTCGCATGAAAAATAAACAAATGAATAGAAGCCAAATATAGGGTTTCCAAACCTCTATTTACACTTTCTAAACCTCTCTTCTTCGTCCATACAACTAAACGGGAACCGGAACATTACTGTAAAGGCGACATGAACAAATATATTAATGTGTTTGCTTAGTTTTGGACTGTGAAGTGTTCTATAAGCGAAGTGGTTGTCAGCCGCACATTGTCTAGGTGATGTATGGTCGTCTATAGGGATTCATATCTCGGGTGTGAATGGGTTTATATCGTCTATAGTCTTTCAGCGTTACAAAGGCAATATATATTCCTTCAATCGTTACAATGGGGATATTTCTACCATAGAATATACGTATGGGGATATTTCTACCATAGAATATACGTGTTTGCTCTACTTACACGCGTATAAAAGTATTTCGCGAGCTACTTACAAGCACTTTAACTCCGCAAATATCATTTAAGGCTCTCCACGATACACAAGGGTGAATAACTGCCATAAAGAGAGACGAAGAAAAGAAGAGAGAGAGAGAGAGAGAGAGAGAGAGAGAGAGAGAGAAGACAGATAAAAGGAGGAATTAAAAGAAGTAGACAGACGGTAAAGAAAACGGGAGATAAAAATTGGAAAATGGAGGAAATTGCCCAGAGAAGGAAAATATTGAGATATTTACCATACTCCGGAAAATAGGGGCAGGGAGGGGGGGGGGGGGGGGATGGGATGGAGGGGGGGGGTGGAGGAGGAGTAGGAGGGAAAATGGAGGAAGAGGAGGAAAATGGAGCAGGAACAGGAGGAGGAGGAGAAGAAGAGGAGGAAGGGAATGGAGGAGAAGGAAGAGGAAGAGGAAGAAGGAGGGAAGAGGAGGGAGGAGGAATGGAGGAAGAGGAGGGGAAGAAGCTGCAGGAGGAGGAGAAGGAGGAGGAAGAAGGAGAAAGGAATGGAGGAGAAGGAAGAGGAGGAGGTAGAAAGAGGAGGAAGAGGAAGAGGAAGAGGAAAGGAGGAAGGAGGAGGAGGAGGAAGCAGGGAATGGAGGAGCAACAGGGGGAAGGAAGAAGAGAAGAGGAAGAAGAGGAGGAGAGGAGGAGAAGGAAAGGAGGAAGAGGAGGAGAAGAAAGAGCCAAGGCTGAGAGGGATGATGGGGGATAGAGGGAGGCGGAGAAGGGGCGAAGGGGGGCGGAGGAGATAAAGGGTGAGGGCGAGAGGAGGGGAGGAAGAGGAAGGAAGGGGGAACCAAGTTATTAAAGGGTAATAACTACGTGTGCGAAAGACAGGGTGATTGTCGACTTTGACGAGAAGCTGAAAAAAGGGAGTTTTATTATTTTTCTTTATTTTCTCTTTATACTCTCTCTCTCTCTCTCTCTCTCTCTCTCTTTCTTCTTTTTTCTCTCTCCTCTCTCTCTTTCTTTCTTTCTCTTTCTCTCTCTTTCTTCCTCTCTCTCTCTTTCTTTCTCTTTCTCTCTGGTCTCTCTCTGTCTCTCTCTTCTGTCTCTGTCTCTCTCTCTCTCTCTCTCTCTCTCTCTCTCTCTCTCTCTCTCTTCTCTCCTCTCTCTCTCTCTCTTCTCTCTTTCTCTCTCTTCTTCTTTTCTTCTCTCTCTCTCTCTCTCTCTCTCTCTCTCCTCTCTCTCTCTCTCTCTTCTCTCTCTTCTCTCTTCTCTCTCGAGTTCTTACATCCTCCTCCCTTTCTATGGGGCAAGAATCTGCAATTATCTTGGTTGTTGGGGTTATATTGGGGATTTTGAGATCCATGTTTATGATGGCTTTCCAACCAATTAACTTTCAGATTTTTTTTTTTTTTTGGGGGGGGGGAGGCGCGGGGGTGGGGGGAGGGCAGTGAAAACAACATCCGTTTATGATTTGTTTGTTTTTCTTTCGTTTTTTTAATGTTCTTTATGTCTCTATTTTTATCTTTCTTTCGTTTATTTGTATCTGTTTGGTTATCATGTGCTATATAATTTTTTTTTTTCTTCTATTTTATCGTATCGATGTTTATATAAAGTGGATATTCGTTATCAATCAACTCAGGATCTAAAATAAAAGAGGAAAAAGCACTCAAAAAGTTTTTGATTTTCGCTTCAAACGGATCAAAAATGAAATCAAAGTCACAATTCATTTCAATCTTTATTGCTAAGTGCACCAAAAAGCCTCGTTTTGATCACGTTATTCATACCTGTTATTTACTGTTATTTACACCACCGGTCAGCAACTCAGAATCAGGTGCAACTGAAATGAGAGAGAAAAATAACGGATAAATCATAATAACTACAATCAAAATAATAATGATTTGATAATGGTGATGTTGATAATAATAATGATAATAATAATAACTACAATCAAAATAATGATGATGGTGATGTTGGTAATAATGATAATAATAATAACTACAATCAAAATAATGATGATTTAACAATGGTGATGTTGGTAATGATGATTCAATCGATGCGATAATGATAATCATATCACAATGATTATAACAATGATAATAACAATGATAATAATCATAGTATTAAAAGTAGATGAATTAGTGTATTAAAGTGTTATTGTATATATGAATTAAATGTGTTGGGATGGGATGATATAGCAGGAAGAGGGAAAGTTAAATTTTGGTGATTTTATTGTGAATTAAAGGGTGGTTAAG